TGCAAGTGAACTTTCAATTTCTAGAAGGCCGCCTCAGCATCCGGCCCCCATTCAAACCTTGCCTTTTTCTTAATTGCCTGGAAAAAGTATAGGCATTTGTCGCCTGATCGGCTTAGAAATCTTCCCAAGGCCGCCAGACAACCTGTTAAATTCTGAACCTCTCGGATGGTACGAGGCGACTGCATGTCGATGACCGCCTGCACCTTCTCAGGGTTCGCCTCTATTCCTCTCTGATTGATAAGGAATCCGAGAAATTTCCCAGACTCAACTCCAAAGACACATTTCTTGGGATGGAGCATGACATGGTGCCGCCTGAGTGTGGCGAAAGTTTCTCGGAGGTCCGACAGATGATCTTTTTGAAGTTTAGACTTGACAATCATATCATCAATATATGCCTCGACATTTTTCCCAATCTGATCAAAGAACACAGTGTTTATCATTCGCTGGAAAGTGGCCGGGGCATTCTTAAGACCAAACGGCATGACCGTGTAACAGTATAACCCCTGATCAGTGACGAAGGCCGTCTTCTCCTGATCTTTCTTCCATAAAGGAATTTGATGGAAACCAAAGTAGGCGTCCATAAAGCTCATCAAAGCATGGCCGGCTGTTGAGTCGACCAGGTTATCAATTTTAGGCAGAGGGTAACTGTCTTTGGGGCACGCCTTGTTTAAGTCTGTGTAGTCTACACACATTCGCCAGGTGCCATTCGGCTTTTTAACAAGCACCACATTTGCAACCCAGTCTGGGAAGTAACATTGCCGAATGAACCCTACATCAAGTAATTTTTTAACTTCGGCGGCTGCCGCCTGACTTCTTTCTTCGCCATGGTTCCGCTTCTTCTGCCGTACCGGCTTCTTTTTCGGATCCACGGCCAGTTTATGTACCGCCAGATCAGGACTAATGCCTGGCATTTCATGGACTTCGAATGCAAAGATGTCCTTGTATTCTTTCAATAGTTTGTGAAAGTCGTCACCTAGGTCCCTCAGAGCAGCCGTCCCAACTTTGACTATTCGGTCAGGACGCGAGTCGTCTAAGATCAGGTCCGTATGCTCACCAGCCAGCTGAGGGCGGAATTCATCCGACCGCTCCTCTGCCAATGATTGCTATTTTCTGTCTTTTCTTGCGGCCCCTGTCTGGGATGCCTTTCTCTTCTTGCCGCCTGCTTCTTGAACAGGCGCACTCTCCTTGACATTGTCAAGGTCTATTTTTCCACCACTCGACCCAGTGGCCAAAACAATGGGCTTGACATCCGAGAGATAGCACTCTCGGGCCATCCTCTGATCTCCCCTTAGGGACCCGACTGTTCCATTATCCCTCTCAAACTTGAGCAACATAAGAGATGGGATTATAACAGCCTTGGAATTATTCAGGGTTGGTTGTCCCAGAATCATGTTGTAGGCCGAGAGTTCTTCTACTACCAGGAACCGGACTACCATGTGTCGTCCTTCCCCTTTTTCGCCCAGGCGGATGGGTAAATCCACTCGTCCCACTGGGTGGACGACTCCTCCTCCAAACCCTACTAAAGGGTGGGATGCCGGATGTATGCAATTAGTCTGATATTTTAGTTTCGACAGACATTTGCTACTGATGAGATCTGAGGAGCTTCCGGTATCTATGAGGATTCGGCCAACTCTCTGGTTGGCCACTTTACATTCAATAACGATAGGGTCGTCATGCGACCCTCTTACCCCTCCTAGATCTTCTTCAGTGATGACAATCTCAGGAAATGGATATTTGGAGGGTCGTTCTTGGTGAACGGAATTTACATCTAACCGTCTGATATTGTCTTTGTTGCCCCTAATAGTGGGGCCGCCTCCTGAGAAGCCGCCTGCAATGGTGTAGACGACTGCATCATCTGTATCGGAGCTGTCGGCCTGTTGATTCTTTTTGGTCGACTGCTTTTTTGAGGAAGTGTTCCCCGTAGATTTCTTAACATAAGTGTCAAGATCACCTTGCTCAGCCAGGCGGTCCAGATACCGCATGAGACTGATGCATTCATTGGTGTGATGACCAACATCTTCATGATAATCACATAATTTTTCTTGGTTGCGACTGTTTGCAGAACCCTTCATGGGGACCGGCTTCTCAATTGAGATCCGTCCCTTGATTTCCTTTAGGATAAATTGGCTATCCTTGTTAAACACATACTTTGGGGAGTATGGTTAGAATTCTTTTTTCTTCTTCTGGGACGGCTGTTTAGAGGAATCAGTTGCCCAGACCTCTTTTATCTTCTCGTCTTTGTTTGACGACTGTTTCTGTCGTCCTTCTCTTTTGTCGGACCTTTTCCCGTCTGACTGTTTTACCGTACTACAAAGACCAGTCGCCTGTATATAGGCTTCCGCTTCAATCAAGGCCTGTTGAAGAGTCGCCACCCTCTTTCGGACCAAATCAAATTTGAAGGTCGACCCGTCTTTGAGACCTCTGAAAAAGTCAGTATAGGCTACTTCATCCGGTAACCCTTGAATCTGTATCCTCATCAGGTTAAACCGCCTGATGTAAGAACGAAGCCCCTCCTTCTCGCCCTGCTGAATTGTTCCTAAAGCAAGGGTCGTCTTCTTCGCAGGGATGTTCATGGCGAAGTTGGAGGTGAATAAGTAAGCAAGCGTCTTGAAGTTATTTACACAACCAGTCGGCAGGTTGCCGAACCATTGTTGTGCGATTCCTTTGAGAGTCGCTGGGAAACACTTGCACCAAGTGGGATCATCCAACCCTTGAAGGTACATCAGGTTGGTGAATGCCATCAGATGGTCTTCTGGGTTAGTAGTGCCGTCATAGGCGCCTACTAATACATTTTTCACTTTGGCCGGCTGAGCGGCTTCAGTAATTTCCTTGGAGAAGGCCGACGGCTGTTCACCAAGTCTAAGCAACCGTAGCTGCCAGTCCATAGGTTGGACATTTTTTGCTGCATGTCCACCAAACGGAGGTGGCTGTAAAAAATATTGTTGTTGCGGTACAAACGGTAAGTTTGGTACCGCCCGGTCGCTATGAAAGCCGGACTGACGGGAGGTGCCGCCTGACTGACTCTCATGATACGACTGAGTATGCCTCATCGAGGTATTTCGCAAACTGTCTTGGAAGTTTGAAGTAGAGGCCAACTCTGACAATCGGCTACTCTTCTTCTGCTCTAGCAGTAGCCGAGCGTCTGTGTATGTTTTCCTCGATCCGTCCGCCTGAATATGACGAACAGGTTTCCTATTTCCTGGAGTAGGAAAACGGTATTTTGTGAAATCAAGGGCAGGTGGCTCCCACTTCCTAGATTTAGGATGAGGGGTCGCCTCTCGCCCTTGAACTGGTTTCCTCTTCCGTGAAGTGGAGGGTTTCTTAGCCGACTGCTCCTTGTCCAGAGCAGGCGGCTTCTTGTTGATCAACTCTTGAATTTCTCCCTTGAAGTCCCTCATGAAGGTCATGAGTTCGTTCCTTGTGATGGGAGCAGACCCATCAGTCGGCTGCTGCCGAATAGGCGGTGCGCCTGCTGGCTCGCTTCCAGTTTGAAGATGTTCCCGTTCCCTCCTTTCGGTATGACGGGTACGTCGGGCCCTTAGGGTCCCGTCTGAAGCTGTGTGAGCTTCAACTTCAAATTCATTCTCAGTATCGTGGTCCGACTGAACTAGACGGTCGTCCAGGGGACGTCTCTCTTCAGGAGCCGGTACAAACGTGGATGTCATCTCAGAAGTACTCTCCCCACAGACGGCGCCAAGATGTTTCGGGGTTTTCTGATGTCCTGCGGGAGAGTTACAATTCCGAGACTGGAATCGGACGCCTGTACCTGCAAAACAACGGAGACTCCTTGTGGTGGGAGCTCCGCCTCCAACGATCAAGTTAGTACTTGTTTGAGGAGTAATTAATGCGGAAATTAAAGTGATTGGGTCTCTCTAGGTGAGAGTGTTTAATGTGTGTAATCTGCGTTTTTAGCGTAATCTCCCTTAATGAGGATTAAGGGAGGTATTTATAACCTCGGGAAACGTGTCAATCTAGGTTTAGGTTAACCTTAGGCTGATTGGGCTTCCCTCGGAAGTTGGGCCTAGGTGACCGGTTATCCCAGGTGTCATGGGAAGGACACGTGTCGTGTCGTAATTGGTCCATAGTGGACGGATCATTGCTTGACACGTGGCAGGCTCCTATTGGCCCATGTGACGGACACATGGCGGAACCTGATTGGTCCACTTGTCAGATGGTGATTGGTGGGGAAAAATCCCCTAATCAACAAGGAATCGAACAGTCGAATAGCGATTGTTTCCAGAATTTGATCGTCTTCTACGAGAATGTTCAAGCTCAATTTATGTTCCAGATTTTGTTTATTAGATCTGATTTTGATTTTGGTTGGTGTTTGATTGATTTTTGGTTGTTTTTTTGATTGATTTTGATGGGGGATGTTGAATCGTGGGATTTTAAGAACCCTAAGTTGGGATTAATTTGTTGCTTGATTTGATTTGGATTAATTTGGGGTTTTTGTTGTTCTTGCTTTGAAGTTGACGAAATGCCCAGATTTGATGTTGTTGCTTTTTTGTTGGATTTATTTGGGGCTTTTGTTGTTGTTGCATGCTTTGAAGTATGGAGAATTAGAATATCACACAGATTTGTTGACGAAAAGTACACAGATTTGTTGTTGCTTTGATTCAATGAAGAAGGTAGGAGAGAGAAAAAATCGGGGTGAGAGAGAGGAAATCCAGAGAATAGAAGAAAAAAAAAAGAAAAAATTAAAAACGTGGGGCCCACCGACGGAAATTCCACCGGACTTGCTAAATGGGTGGTAATCTGAGCAATAATTTAATTTATTGGGTGGTAATATAAAATAAAAAATTATTTGGATGGTTATGTCAAAACTGGACTATTTTTTGGGTGGTAATTTACAAAAAATCCTAAAATAAATGTGAGATTAGTTTAGAATAATATCATACAAACTTTTATGATAGAAATTAAGAGTACATGACTAATCATTTAAAATACATATCAAAAAATACATTAAAACGTAGTATATATTACATCAGTAGATGGGTTAATTAAGCATTGTTATTTTTTACAAAGATGAAATCATTCCCAGTTTCAGCATTGTCCATGAAGAAATCGGACACATCAAGGGTACATGGAGCATTTTCTTCATTAACATAATTTGCTTCTGCATTTTTCTCTTTACCTTTTACAGAAGCCTGGTAAAGGTCTACCAAATGTTTGGCCGTACGATAATTACGTCCCCAATGTCCTGTCATGCCACATCTGTAACATGTGTCTTTTCCTTTTGAAAGAGTTTGTTTGTGGCTTCCACATGACTGTCCCTTCTGTTTTTCAAAATTTTTGAAATTACTGTTTCTTTGAAAATTGTTTCTACCACGTCCTCGGCCTCGTCCGCGATAATTTCCACGGCCTTTTCCACGGCCATTGTAATTTCCACGTCTACCTCTTCGTGCAGCATTTGCCTCGAGTGGATAAGAACTTGTTGCAATTGCCTCATGATGAGTGGCCAAAGACCCAGTTGGTCTGAGATTATGATTTTTCAACAAAAGATCACTATTTTGTTCCGCAACAAGCAATACACTCATTAATTCATTAAAATTCTTAAAACCTCTTTCACGATATTGTTCTTGCAACAGTATGTTGCTTGCATGAAAGGTAGTGAGTGTTTTTTTCAATCATTTGTTCATCGGTGACTGGATGATCACAGTATCTCAATATAGATACTATCTCATGTATGGTTGAATTGTAATCTATTACATATTTGAAATCCTGGAACCGTAAATTTGTCCAGTCAAATAATGCCTTAGGAAGGAGCACCCTTTTGTGGTGTCCAAATCTTTCATTAAGGCAGTCCCATAATTCTTTGGGACCTTCAACCATCATGTACTCAGTTTTAAGGCCTTCATGTAAATGATGCCTTAGTAAAACTAAGGCTTTTGCCTTTTCTTGTTCGGTAATGGGTTTTTCAACCGTCATTGCAGAAGTGGTAGTATCAGTTGTTTGACCAGGGGGACTTTTATTAACAGCATGCTCCAACCCTTGAGCTTTTAAATTCATCATGGCATCCACTTTTCATTCCAAAAATTTCTTTCCAGATAAATCTAGAATGCTGAATTGTCTTTTCACAAGATCTCCCATTTTGACTACAACAAATTACGTGATAATTAGTTTATAATCATACGTATATCACATGTGTTTAATTCTTCCATATTTTTAGTTTGTTAATGAATCACGTGATAATTAATTTTTTTTTAACAATAATAAGCCATAAATAATATAGTTCTTTCTCCCCCTTGGTTTATTATTGTGAGTAATTATATAATTAGGCAAAAAAATAAATCATATTAGTCGCATAAATAGCAAAACGACAACAACAACAGTAGTAACAATAATTATAATAATAATGGTAATATTATACAATGATGATTTAAAACAACAAAACAACATAATAAAACAAAATCATGCTTTTAACCTACTAAAACGACAAAATAAACAAACTTCACTTGAACATTATGACAAAAATTAATATTGCTACTAACAGGACTACAAGCGCCATAATTAGAAGAAAATATTGTTTTATCTTCCTTAAATCATCCTCAAAGGTGAAGGTGTGGGTGTCTTGGATGTTTTGGTTGCCGTCGGGGAACATGTTGGAGAAGAAGGGGTGAAAATTTTTGGGTGATTTTTGAATAGAGGGGATAAGAAATTTGTGGTGAAAATCGGGGGAAAATCTACCTTTTATAGAGGTAGGTATCATATAATGGTTTAATGTATTGGAAAAATTATGATTCAAATATAAGTATTTATAATTGTAAAAGGTTATCACACTGGGAATGCAAGCCATAGTGGTCCGAGAGCCCTAATATCTATAAAAGATCATGGGTTCGAAAACTGAAAGAAACACAAAAGGTTCGTAAAAGAAAGAAAAATAATAAGTATAAAAGGCTGCATCTTTTTGTCAATTTAGTTAATAATATGCATGCAAAGTTACTACTAATTATAATTACTAAAATTAAATTTTACATAGAAGGTGAGTATGTAATATCAACATGTATGAATCAAACATAAACCAAGATACCAACATGAATAAAACAAGGTAGGATAATAATAAATTCATAAGTAAGGATATTTTTCACCGTTGTTTTGAGATATATGATATAGTAAATGTTTGAGTTTCTGGTATAGAGGATCCCAAAATATGGGCAACTATAGAGCATACTCCTCAAAACATTTAGAAGTAGATAGTATTTATTGTAATTCTGAGAAGTAGGTATAAATATACCTGAATAGGAAATTGTGCTAATAACGTGTTAAAAGAATTTACCGATAGAAAAGTTTTGATTAATAAAAGGAGTAAAGGAGTGAAAGAAGATGGGTGAAATTGTTGTAGTGTTATGATTGTATTCTTACTTCTATGGCATTGTATTTATAGCCATGAATTACACTAATAATACAATAATTACTCACATAAAGCCATATGAGTTCACAAGTGTTTGAACCTATATGAACATTGTGTAATCAAATCAATAATTGGCATTCACTTATTAGACTTATCTTCTAACAATACGAAGTATATTAAAAAGAATTCAACATGTTCCACATATTTTCATTATGAACTAACCAAAGATGGTCAGAGAATGTGAACAGTAAGAATACAAAATTTATTTTCTCAAAAATGAAGTATTAGTACTTCATACAAAGAATGCAAATATTACAAAATGCCAATGGTAAAACTACAAAAAAAAAACAGAGAGTATTAACTTTTCATAAATTAATAATAATACAATTTTCTTTTGAAATTGATGCTCTATGATCTATAAAAAAAAGGGAGCAACAAAATAAAGTTAGTGATTTGGTAAACTAAAAAAACTCCATGAAAGCAAGATCAGGCCAGCACAATGCAGCCTTGTATCTTTTTTAGATTTTTTTTTTAAAATTTTTTTTTTATGTTTTTTTAATTTTAACTTCCACAATTGCATTGTGCAGGATTCACAGCTAAATAATTTCCTTACACTTCTTTTTTCCCATTCCCTAAATGAATAGGAGGATTGCCTAAAAAATAATGTGAATATGCCTACTCAAAAAGAACTTCCCTGTAGAAGTTAAAATCCCCGAGAAGTGATACAACACTTCCATCAAGTAAAAGGAGAGAATTACGTATAAACTGCATCCTATATAAGAGCCGCGACACCAACTTGTTGCATCTCCCTTAGCCTCCACATTGAGTAAATAACATCCTCGTTGATTTCTTCTGGCTCCATTTGTTGCATAGCCCACAAGTAATATACACTGTGGATAGTGTCCTGCTTCAACAGAACCAAGCAAAGTAAGCTCACATCGCTTTGTTCTCAAAGTTCCGCAGTTTCCAATTCAAATATTTCAAGGCTTGTTAAAACAAAAAAAAAAAAAAAAAGTAAAGGCTGAGCTGGCTACACTAAGTTCCCAGTTTTGGGCTTTTCTGAAGATTAAAATTAATATTTCGAAGCAGTGAGTTGTTTATTTCCATTATAGCAAGGTAGGATGTAATAAGATAGTCTTGAGACCAAAACATAAAATGAATTTCATGTAAACTGTACACCTATAACTTGTTAAAAAAACATACATACTCGTAGCACTAGTATGAAGTAAGCTACACGACAGATGATATTGCACGCTTCATATTTCTCAGAAATAAGAAGCAACCTACTCTACCCTCTCAATTCAATGTATAGTGGGGCTCCTTGGGGTTCATTCCAGGGCATACAAGGCCTCATTTGCAGAAAATATCCAATTTCATAATTCATTCCTTTTAATATTAGCCCCCTTTATAGTTGAATTTAATCTTTAACCAATGAAGACAACACTTTTTTAGAAAATGAATTGAGACTTCTCTATCCATCAAATATCACCAGCTGTAAATATAAACCTGCATTAATAGCCCTCAAATTATCAAATGACCAACTACTAATCTAGTACAGTTTCAACTTCATCAAGGAAGACAGCTATCTTCAGAGGCTGTCTTCAAAAACTGCATGCAACCAAAGGAAAAGGTGACAAGGATTAGATGTTAATTAAATGAATAATATATATTCGAAATTCCATAGAAGAGACCGTGAAACATTTGAAAAACAAAGAACTAAACTATAAGCTTTCAGCTTCTTTGCTAGCACCGCAAGCTTAAAATTCAAGTAGCTAAGAAAGCTAATTTCACCCAGCAGCTTCTAAAAAAGATCCAAACATAATAACAGAAAAATAACAGGAAAAAATATTTCAAAATTACCTGACTTCCTTCCTTTATTGAACCTTGTCTATTGCGTACACAATACACTTGCTGTGTTTGGAACTGATTGAAATACATCAGCAACATATGTCAGTTTCAAAACTTGCAGCTGTGAAATATGGTTCAAAGAGTTCAATAAAAGTCTTGAAACTACTCACCGAAAGAATAATAATGGGACTAGAACCCATCATTTTAGTCTCTCTTACATCCACCTCAGATACATGCAAAATCTGCTTTATAGAAACATGTATTAGGGAAGTTTATAACACAGATTATAAAAAATAAAAATATATATAAAATAATAGAATAAAAAAAGAAAGAAATCAAGGAAAAATACAAAAGATTTGAGTTCTATAAATTTATTAGCACCAAAATGCATTTGAATACAAACTAAGTTGATTGCTATTGTTCCTAACTCATTAATTGAAGCAAGGTATGCTAGTATCCAGCTTGCAACACTTTTGCATTTTGGACCATGGTGGTACATAATCAGCTTCACCATAACAGTAGGCCAAAGGGTAACCAAATTGTTTTTCATGGTCAATAGTTCTAGAAAGATAGAACTTCCAAGAACCAGTAGTAATAGGTTTAAAGCACTACTAAGAGCCATTCCTTGACATGGTGATAATAAATTGAAATAATCTATGATCCTGAATCTAGTTCAAATTTTATGTTATTTTTTTGGAGGAGACTGTTTGCTTTGCACGAGATGTCACCAGTCAACTGGTTGACCGGGTCGAATTGGAGTTAGAAAAGTTCACGTTTGTTTTGTTAAATCATTAAAGTTCATGACCCAAACATTTCGAGTTTGAGCCGACCTAATGGATTAAGGAAATAAGGGATTCAAGATTCCTAAATTACTTTTATTTTTTATTGCAATATATTTAACCACATCTCAATAAATTACTTCCTTGATTTTTATTTACTTGCAACACAACCTTATGGCACGCACTTTGAGGTCTTTGAGACATTATTCAAAATAATTTGTACACATTATGCATAACCCTACTCTAATCCTTGTGTTAAAATTATTTTGATAAAATCGCTCGCTTACCTTCACTAATCACCTCCTAAAATTGCGTACCTAAAATGTGTGTTGCAAGTAAAAAAAAAAAAAAAAAAAAAAACAGAGGAAGAACAAAATACACGTGCAAAATAACAGCTTATAACATTTTTTTAAAATCTTTATAGCCATTAACTGTAAAATGATGTATAAATCCAACTATCCATAAAAAAAAATGTACATGTCCAACAAAAACAATGTTATATCCAACATTTTCAACAAAGCTTAGTAAGGTTGCATTGGACATTTCTTTCCTTAATCCCTACCCAGTGTGCCTGATTTCTCTATGCAACGATTTCAAAATAAATTGGAATCATAAAATAATAATTTCAATATAAGAAAGTCTCAGCAGTCTATGTTTCAACAACTCTATAAAAATAACTCATTCAATGGAGCTTCAGAATGGAAATTATGAGACTATATGCCTGATTGAGACCTACATCAATATATGATTAAGTTGCAGCACCTGACCTTATTATCAAAGAAGATATCCTGGCTTTGAAAAACTTTATGCTCTGCTTTACACCGCTCCACAATTTCAGAGCTACAGTATTTCTCCAAGACTTCATTGTCCCCCTGGACATAGCAATTTTAAAGATAATTAATACTCTTTTGGAAGCATAACAAAGTGGCAATTGCACAAAAAATATGCAGCCTCCCCCCCCCCCCCTCCTCTCAAACAGTTCAACATTTACCTTGATATAAGCACTCAGAACTGGCTTGATCACTTCCTGAACCTCAGCTACAAAATCGGGCAAAGAAAACAATCTGGCAGCAAAGCAATAAATTTTAAAAGGTGATATTACAGAAGCAAAAGAGCTTATGATTAGGACTAGCAAATACATACGGATCACGACGACGAATTTCCTTGAACGATAATCCAGAATCATTTTCTCCAAAAACTCTATCATTAATACTGACAAGAAAAAAGGAAATCATTAATGTAATTTTATTATATGCATATTTGTACCAATTTAGATTTACCAATTTTCATAGGGTACTCCTATGTTTTGAAAAATGCACCATAAACTCATGAGGTTTGGTAATTATGTTTTGTTTTGTTTTTTTTTTTTTTTTTTTTTTTTTTTAAAAAAAAAATGTATTGGTTGCCCTTGATACCTAACCAATGTTAATCTGTTTACCCATTTGCTCAAAATCTGCTAATTAGCCTCAGCATTTTAATCAGGGGCATATTTCTTCAACAGTACAATAATCAGACTCAGTTGAAAAAAGAAGCTCAAATTTTGATTTTAAAAGCATTAATTTGCCTAATTTTCTTATTCAATTGACTACTCTCAAATGAGAATGAGCTACTATTGTCAGAATATGAGTTAGGATGGTCAAATTCAACCATAGAGACTCTAGATATGGAGTTTCTGTGCTAGAATATGACAATTAAATTTTTCTGAACTTTGAGAAAAGAGGGAGAATCCCAACAGTAGCAACAACACCAACCATTAGCCATCACAATTTTTTACATTAGACATAATCTGAATTCTAAATGTATTTGATAGAATATATTAATGTGTCAATCATACTAAACAGTTAAAATTTTAACATAAATTTAATTTTGGGATTAATTAATTTGTTTTATTTAGTTCTTATTATTTGTTAATACTTATTCCATTTCTAGGTCTGAAGTAGTCACATGTTTACAAGAGAAATGAAGAGTTAACATGGAAGATGGGTTAGTATTGTGTTAATAAAATATTTGGATCTATAAGGTTAACAGAGTTAATGTTCGTTAATCATCAATGACATCTAGTAAATTTTTACCAAACCTCATAGATATATGATGCTACTTCAAAACATTGAAATACCACATGAATTTTATCAAATCTTAAGGGTAGCAGAGAAACATCAGATTCAGATAACTAATTTAACCACTTCATCAGCACATAAATGCAAAGCTAACACAATGTGTAGCTGAACTTACTCTTGAATTTTATGTACAACAGGACTATCACTAGTTTCCCATCTTTCCTGTAGATCTTCAGCCAACTAACATAGATTTGAAAATATACAATCAGATCAAACTTCAGGGAGACATTTAGAAAAACAAAGACAGCAAATAATAATAACAACAAAATAAAATTAGATAAAGAATAAAAAAATAAAAACAATTCCCAGAAGATGGGATCGGTTGCATGCATGGTTTGAAAATGTGGCAACGGTCGCAGTATCTCGGTATGGAGATGATGCTCGCAAACAGGACCACGATTTTTGCGACATGAATATGGTTTGAAAGTCTTCTCCAGAATTTCAACTAGTACTTTAAAATCATAATTCAAGAACCAATAATAACATAAACATAATAGTAACAAAATTCTAGTACAATGAGTTCAGAAAAGTAGAAAAATTGTCTAAAAAACTAGGTAACGGAGTGGTAGTGTAAAATATCAGCCGAGACCATAATTTAACAGTTGAATCGGCTTAAAACTCAGTCTATTATAAAGATTAGTGTGGTAAATTGAAAACCTATACAACTCGGCTAAAAAGATATATCGCGACTGAGTTTTTACACCCATGGTTGTGAACTTAGAATCAATCTCATATGGTCATTCACAAAGATCATTCTCCTCCATTCACTTCTATCTAGTGATACATGCTCTATTTAAATCATCTTCTGCCACCCTAAGATTATTTTAAAATCCCCCATCATCCCAACCCTCCACCTATCTTACCAATGCATCCTCCAATCCTCCAATCGATGTTTGACATGCCCACCTCAACTTAGTCGATTCTCCTTTATGTTGTCCTTTACATATGCAATTCCAACCTTCCAATGCATATCTACATTCCTAATCCTTTCCAAAGTGCTCCCACACATCCATCTCGATATACTCATCTTCTTCATATGGGACCTTCATGAATGCCTATTTGCAATGACATACATAGCAATGTTAATTTGATCAGGCCTATACAATTTCACTTTAACCTAAAACACACACTAAGATCACATAATGACCAAATGCTCTCCATTTAAGCCACACATGACATCAAACAGACAATTTTCATTAGAAACTTTTTATGGCTCTATGCCAATTAAAGCCAAAATCATCACTATTAAAATAACTTAGCATTGTCATACCATGAGAAGTTTTCAACAGATATTATACTTCTTGATTGACAAAAAATAGCTAATATTTTAAAAAGTGTTCATCAGAAAGTCCATGTGCCACATGGTACTCTCCTTTCATGCAAAAAGTTTATTCCCAAGTCAATCCCTTAATCAAATTAATAAACATTGTCGCTACAAAAAACATAACCTGTGACCTTTGAAATGATACGCAATACCTTAACCACTAATCCAATATACTACCTCCGTTCATGAAAGTTCGACTCACTTACTATCCATGTGGTCAAAATAAAATAAATTTGACCACATTTTATGATTTATACAATCAAAATAAATTAACAAGTTTGATCTTATTAGATTCCCCTTATGATAAATTTTTACTTACACATAGCCGAAGTTATTAATGGTCAAAGATGTTCATTGAAAACCGTGCAAATGCAAAGGGAGTAAAATCAATATATAACTTTATAAAATTGGATATAATATAAAGTTCTATAAGTATATCTTTTCAAAAGACTTTTACATGTAGTTAAACCTTGTAACACATTTTTGCTAATCATAAGAGGGCAATATTATCATTTTCCACCCAATTCTTGCAAAACTTAGATTAATGTAACGTACTTTTACCCCAAACTTTTGAAGTTACGACATTAATACTTTCTCAACAAAGAAAAAATATCAAAAAATAATAACCTAGGACATAAACCAAGACACTCACTAGTTTAGGGTTTAATATTTGAGATATAAGACATAGAGGGATCAACCTACATTTTATGTACTAAAAATTGAACCAATCACCAGCTAGAGACATAACCAATATATACTTTGGATGCGGTGAAGTGCAATGATGAATTTATTAAGTTATGTCCTTTTCTTTATTTCTTGGGTAATAGATATGATTACCATAATTTGAAATTTACATACAGAAAACGAGTAAGACTAAGATAATACTGTAATAGATTGATAGTTTGATACAATAAGCATAATGTGATCTTATATAAACAAAAATGTTCACTTAAATATGATTTGACTAAACATAAATATCAATCAAGCAAAATACCTCATAGGGTAAAAAGTGGCAGATAGTCCAATACTCAATAAGACGAGAAGCTCTATTGTGCACCCGGATAACCCCTACCTCTAGATTGTAGGTGGGTGCACCACATGGCTCAATAGAGCTGCAAGATTTAAGAATGCAAAATAACTGAATTCTTATAGAACCCTAATTCTTACCAAAAATAGCTACTAGCTCCAAAATGAACCTTCACAACTCCCTTACATCACTATGTATTCGTAAATGTTTCAAATTTTAAACGAATGGAATTTAATCAATAAGAGACAATTAATAGAATACATGTGCAGTAATCAACCGTAATGGACAATATAAAGGAAGTATCTCTCATCTATGGAGTATCACTCTATCAGCCAAAGTAGGACTTTTTTAAAAATCATTAGATGTCTTGCAATATGAAATAACCCAAGTCACAAGATGTTCATTACACCTAAAAAGGGGAAAAAAAGCTGCTCAACTATTTAGGCTTAATCAAGTGCGATAAACAGTTATTATTAAAGCATACCTCTTGGCTCTTTGTAACCACAGGCTCACTTATCCTAGTGACGCGTTTAAACATTGGATTGCCTCGCATCTAGGTCAAACAAGAATCCATATAAGGTAATGCACAATAACAATATTTGCAGGAAAAAATAACACTAATATAGCAGCAAACTCACCTTTTCTTTTAGTGACTCCCACTTTTTGCTCCATGGGGATTGCTTTACTGGTACCACAACAACTTCAGTTCTGTCACTTGTTTCTCCTGTTGACGATGAAGCAGAATACGGCATTCTTTTCCTTCTATTTGGTTTTCCACTCAATTCTTCCTTCACTATGGTATAACTCTTTTTAGCTAAGTCAGCTACCTTTGCTTCCTTCAATTTCTGAAAGGCTGATGAAAACTTGGGAGAAGACGAAGCAAAAGTTGACCTAAAATTACTAAATAAAGTCTCTGCAGTACCGCTAGGCTCAGATTGCTGGTGTGGCTCACCAGATGAGGATTTGGCCTCATCTTTAACATTACCACTTTCATTTTCCTTAGTATTGTTAGATGCTGAAGGTTCTTGGCCTTTTAAACCCAGAGTCTCTTTAACCTACAAAATAAATTGCAAGAGACATAAGCATACTTGAAATTGATAGATTTATATACAGAAGAAAATTCCAAATACATAAAGATACTAAGCAGACCTCCTCTTTTGCAGATGATATCTTTTCTTTCATATTTGCAGAAACCTGCAGGAAGTAAAATATATGTTTGATAAGAAAGTAAAACATTTCTTCCAAACATTTTTTATTTGAACAGGGGTTTAAGCAAAGAAAAGTTACAGGTTCACAATTTAAATACACCACAAACCACAATTGAATAGATAGGAATTGACGCAAAGGAGAGAAGATGATGCTTAGAAAATTAGTCATGAATGATGACTAAGGTTAACAAAAATGGGATTGGATGGTAAAGCTTTGAAGCCCTCTCATGTAAAGAAAGACCAAAAAGGAGACTACGCATGGTTGGCCTAAAATGGACATGAAAAATGCAATGCAGTGTAGCAAAATATGTTTAGATTTGATTATATAAGAGCAGCTGAATCACCAAATGGGTGTCTACAAATAGGAGGGAATTTCGAATTGATAAACAAAAATCTGGCGACATTTTGGTATATAAAGACAGAAGCCATGATAAATACGCCTAAAAATTAATCATAGCAGCCTGTATACAGTAAATTTCGCTATATACCCTCTTTCAATGATATTTCTAATAATTATCATAACATAAACTCCTTAAGATCACAAAAATAATTCCTATACTACCAAAACCTTTAATCCATTAAAAATTAATTCAGAGGATATGATAATATAATATTGAATTTGAAAAAAGTTGATATATACGAGAAAAGGTTGATAAAGAGTAAAAAGGAAACAACAGTAGACACACTAACTCCAATCAAGGTGTATCAGTTGACGCCACTCTTTTCCTACATTCCAACTAGTTGCTACATTTTTTTTTATTTTACCAATGTGGCAAACCTTTTTTATTTTATGCACCAATGTAATGTTTCAGCCCCAACAGGAAACTTGAGAAAGGATAAGAAGGAATCATGTTTGAACAGATCTAACAGCAAAGACCTAGTCCTTGAATAACAATTTTCTTATGAAAATCTTTACAGTAACTTCTAAAAAAGTAAGAATGAGTAAGATGAAGAGATGAAACTCTAAATCTATGAAGACAGCAAGCATATTAAGGACACAAGAACATTCTCGTGCGTAAAAATTGGCCAACACATTGTGACTGCTTTTGTTAAAATGAGTTCAGAAAGCAACCCTGACCTTATAAGACTAGATATAAAACTTAATTCAGGAACAAACCTTCTTTGCAGTCTCTTCAGCTTCTGTCCACACACCATCAACACGCTTGTGTAGCTGCTCAGTTGTCTGTTTCACTCTGCATAAAACATTCATCATGTCAGGACACACATCAGCCATCACTATATGGTAGCCATCTGTTTCAGCTGAAAAATATGATAAGAATTATAATGTGTTTAGTTAGCAAACTGAAAGGAAAAGAAATGGCAGGAGAAAGATGCCACGAGAAAAAAGGGAAAGAGTGTGCTAGCATTTCTTCCAACTCTTTACAGCATAAAAAGGATTTGGTTAACATAACCAAACAAGAGAAGACAAATCTCGCCCTCTCTTCCCTTTCCTTTGAAATCCTTCATCCAAACACACTATAAAAGAAAAACTTTGCCAAACACAAACCAAAGAGCAACCATTACACCAAGGAGTAATTGAACAAATTACCTGATTTTAAGATCTTCTTTTACTCCTTTTAACTCATCTGCTTTCTCTTTCAGCTGCTTAACTGATTGTTGGAATTCCTTATTACTATCATGCAGTTAAACAAATATCAAATACATATATAAAATGGATACACCCAAGCCCAAAGAAAACAACCGTGATTAGCTACTAGAGTCACATCAATTGATTAAAAAGATCAACAGAATGAAGGGAATAAAATTATAATTTATGAGCAAGATGGCTAATAGAATTAGATTCCCAAGAAGTAAATTGCCAAAGTGTTTACATCCGCACTATCTACTACTGAATTCAATATTGATACTTCATGCAAAGCCAAATGAAACTTAATAAAGTAAAATTCATATAAAGCATTATTCATATTCATATCAAGACAAATAGAGATTAAAAGGGGAAAAAATAACAACCCTCGATTTTATCATAATTAAATGAATTTACGAGGGAAAGGATTACATGAATAGACGTACTTAGTTTAACCCTCTACCCGAAACTTACATGGCCTTGCAAGATAAGAGTATCAACAATATCTAACTAATGCCTTGATAACAAACCCTGCAGATAAAGTACTTGCGTCCCTAAGTGGTGGCTTGGTCCCTTACCTCAGCATAAGAATCTATGTATACGAATGAAGCAACCCAATAACCGGATCAATTTAACAGCTAAAAAACCCCAAGATCGAATTAGAAAGGACACATTTTTACCTTTTGTACACATTAAAAGCATTCACTTTTTAAAAATGATCCCTCTTAAATCTTCAGCACCGGGCCTCAAATTCTTCACGATCTCATTCTGTGCCCAATTACTTTATTTTTTTATTTTTTTTATTTTATTTTTTTATTTTTTGTAAAAAAAACGCCTTCAACCCCTTGTAAAGTTGTAAGTAGATGCCCAATATTTCATATTTTTCTTCTGTCATTAAAGCTAGTAAAAGCTACTGTATAAATTACCTTAGAAATCTATTTCGAGCTTCCATGGGATCACCCCAAAAAGAGTTTTACTTCCAATTCACAAAATAACTATGAAACCTTTGGATTCTAGTAATTCGCTATGTTTGTCAATGATTTACTAATGCTCTAACATTCTTAAATTCTTTTCTTAATCATATTATCAGCATTCAGCAATGGTAAATAATATTTTCTCATCCCTTCCTTTATTAATTTATCTATATAGTTCTTAAATGAATGACGGTCAATATCTCAATCCTCGTTTTATTGAAAGGAAAAAACATCAACGCATTCATAAAATTATCACAAAAAATGCATAAATTGAATTACTTACTCCAAAAAAAAGAAATTAAACTCAAATTGGAAGTAAAAAAACACAAAAAAATGACAATTAATCACAAAAAAAAAAAAAAAAGAAGCATAAATTAGAGTAATTACCTTGAAGCTTCACCTTTAATCTTGTTGGAAAACTCATTAAACACACTAAATTGACGATTAAACGAATACCCATTTCCAGTAATCAACCTAAGCTTGGAATTCGATTGCTGGAACTAGAAATTAAGATAATCAACACCCATTAAAAAAAAGAAACAGAAAATGGAAAGAAAAGAGGGGAGAATAAGAACCTGTTGATGGGGTAAAAAGTGGAGGAAAAGACGTTGCTTGGAGAAGAAGAAATCACGAGCAAGTTTTCTGCTGGCCATTTTTATGGAGCAAGAAGAAATCACCGGTCGGAGTTTGGGAGAAGTGAAAGTGGGTGCGGCGAACAGCGGACTCAACGAATGAAAAGAACCGCTGTTCGGCTCTTGTGTGCTCTCTCTATTAAAAACTTTTACTCTTGTCCATTACTCCCTCCCTTATTTTTTGCCCCATTTGACTTTTCACGGTTTCTAAAATGCGTTTTCAAACGTATAAATCTTCATTTATATATGTTTAAAATTTATAAAAATTTGATATTAATAAATTATACAATGAGACGATTCTAACAAGATCACACATGAATATATTATCATTTATAGATTAACGACAATTTATGGTCAAAGTTTTAAAAGTTTGACCCATATTTTTGCAATGGGGCAAAAAATAAGGGCAGAGGGAGTACAAAAGAGAATTTTCAATAATATAAAGTATTGTGGGTGTGAGTGCATCTAGGCGTATAAGACCTATGTATTTGGCATGCACATAGGAGCGCAATCTGAAGATTGGTGGTATATTTTCTCTCTCTTAGTGGTATAGTAGTACATTTTTGTGTACTATTGTGCATGTATAATGTACCATTAAAGTATAAGTTGTCTGAATAGTACATTTTGTGTACTATTATGCATGTAGTGGTACTTTTTGCCATCATATTTTCCACCAATGCTTTTTCTCAGGTTCTCATTATTTACAAAAATGTCATCCTATTTGCATGTCAAATACATAGGGCCTATGCGCCAATACTTCTCCTTGTTGTAGAAGAGAGAAACATAAAAAAGTTGTATAAATGGGGTTGGTATGTGTAGGGAATATTTCAAACATCAACTTTGAGCCCCACTGTGATCATTCATTTAAGCATGGTGGCGTCTAAAGGGAAAGAAGGTAGAGATAAAAGAGTCGCCAACAAATTTTAGAAACCTGTAAACCGTTCACGGGTGTGAAGATTACACCCCATTCACGACCACAGAGATCGCTAACTCCATAGTGGTCCGGAACCATGACTTGATATTCGGGGATGATGGTACGAATCTAACCTAAAAGAGATTGAACCAGCCCTAAATCGGCCTCTACTTAATTCTTATGATATTCATGTGCGCTTTCCGATCAACGTAAATCCAACAAGTTAGCCCTAAACCTGTTTAATCTACGTTGGTTGATTATTAATGCACAAATAAATCTATTGGCGATCACTTGAATTAAAATCATATTAAACCTAAATCAAATTATTAATTATCTACAAAAAGGGCGTGATCAAGCAATAACAATGAATCATAAATAATCAAGCAAAATATGATTATTAATTGACACAATAAATCATCATAATAACTTCATCATCAATATAATCATAATCTCATCAAAACATGATTAATAGCAAGATCCTAGGCATGATACTGAACGGATTAATAACAAACCCTAGCATGTCACTAAATCAAAATCAAAGTTTTAGCCTAAACATGATACTAGAAAGCAACATGATACTAGAAATCACAAAAGCATCCTAACATGATACTAGAAATTAAAATAATATTCTAAACATGATTCCTATATCAAAGGAATAAATAAGTAATCGATTACTTACTTTGATGCCTCGTATCTCTTTCTATCAAAACAATACACACGTTAGTAACTTCAAGAAAGAAATAAATCAAATAAAAAAATCAAATAATAATAATAATTGAAATAAGGATTAGGGACCAAACCCTCAGAAATATCAACCTTTCACGTCGAGGTCGAAGGCAACTACGAGAAGGGCTTGGAGTATCCAAGTCTCGCAAAGGTCGTATGGTGTGATGTGTTTAGGCTAAGGCTAAGAAAGGGAGAGAGAGAAGCTTATAGCTTAGAGAGGGCTTAAGATGATGATTGTTGGTGAATGAAAACGGAGAAAATGCCCTCTATTTACAGGGAAAAACGAGGGAAAAGATCAGAAAAAGAGTCATAATTCGACTCGAAGTAAAACAAATCGTATCGCGAAACGCCAGATATATCGCAGTGCGATACTTATATCGCGGCGCGATATTAGTATCATGGCGCGATTAAGCATCGCACAACGATATTTTTTGAAAGATAGAATTCGCACGGAATCCGACTTCCAACTAAATTGGGTCAATCGTATTTCCGTACGTATCCTAGTTTTATCAGAATTAAACCTATTAAAAATAAGTGTTTTATCCGAAGTAAAATCCTTAAATTTTATCTTTTTAAAAACAAGATAAATTAGAACCTTCTAGAGGATTCTAGAAGCTAATAATAAATCCTAAGGGATTTAGGTATGATATTAAAGGTTAATGGACCCTCCACATGGCCATTGGGTCGTAGCCTCGTAGGTGAGGCTCGGTTTAGTATTTTGGCCATAACTTCTACGTTATAACTCGGATTTGGGCTTATAATATATCGTTGGAAAGCTCTTTTCAAGCTCCATCCAGCTAAACAATAATTGGACCCAGATTATGGACAAAATAAAGTGGACGCGAAATGAATGATTTTTAGGACACGAAATGGATGATTTTGGGTTTAAAGGCACGAAATAAATGATTGTTAGCTCAAAACATTTAAGGAAAGGTTAGAAATGGTCAAGGCTAAAGGGAACTTCACGAGACTCTTCAACTCTTCACCTAACTCGATAATCAAAGATGTGAAAGGTACTCATCACTAGGTTTGGTTTTTGGGGAGACACAATCAGGTGTCTACAGAAGCCCCCACTTTGACTAAGTTTGGAGAAACGTAAGTTTCGAAAACAAAAGGAAAAGTAGATCGAAAGGGACGGAGAATGATTCAGAACGTTCTACGATCCTAAATCATCCTTTTTAACGCTGATACCTGCACAAAACGTCAATTCTACAAATAAAGGAGTTAAGGGAGAAGAAAATGCGTATCTGACACCAACGTATCGGTAGAAAACACTTTTGGTAGCTTTCCACGCCTTGAGAAATCCACCGAATGATAATTTTCCACGCCTCGGGAATTCTACCGCGAACTACTACGCCTCGAGTGAATCCTCGGATGATAATCTTCTACGCCTCAGGAACTCTACCGCGAACCACTACGTCTCGGGTGAATCCTTGGATTATAATCTTCCACGCCTCGGAAGACTGATATGAGATATATTCCACGCCTCGGGAACTCCACCGCGAACCACTAAGCCTCGAGCAACTCACCAAGTGAAAGGTGACAAGTTTCCACGCTTCGGGCCACATGTCGCAGATTCCTACGCCTTGAGCACCTATTGAATGATGATTTTCCACGCCTTGGGAAGTCTAATTTGGGACAGTCTCCACGCCTTAAGAGCCTTATCGTGAAATCCTACACCTCGAGCAATTCACAAGTGAAATTCCATACTCAGGGAATAACATTAAGCATCCACGCCTAAGGATTCATCTCCTGTCTTCTACGCCTTGAGAAGTGCGCCATGATCCAGTTTTCCTCGCCTTGGGAGAACTTGTTGTGTCTCTACGCCTCGAGAAACTTGCGTCACAGTCAATTTTGAATTAAGTTGTTTTGTTTTTACAACCTCCACATTCTCAGGGAGCGCTATCGAAAACCACCACGCCTCGAGCCGTCTTCTCAAATCCTCTCGTCTTCACGCCTTGAAAGTGATAGCTTCTCACGCCTTGGAAAACCTTCGTAAAACCTTACTCCTCAAGATTTTGTCGAGCTCAAATCAATTTCTATAAAAATCTTCCATCAATGGTTATATCTCGCATGGAGAGTCCTATCGAACCATCTTAAGCAATTGTGATCATGATCGGGCCGACCACTTCTCATATGTGATCGTAATTGGGCCGAGCACCACTTAATGTGATCGTAATTGGGCCGATCACCACTCAAATGTGATCGTAATCGGGCCGACCACCGCTCAATGTGATCGTAATAGGGTCGATCACTGCTCAAAGGTGATCATAATCGGGCCGATCACCGCTTAAACGTGATCGTAATCGGGCCGATCACCGCTCAAACTCAAACGTGATCGTAATCTGGCCGATCTTTTATCAAATCAAGATCTTTTGCGCCGCGCCGCGTCAGGGTGTATTGCGCTGTGCTGGAAACAGGGTCAGAGTGTTTAAACTCATTCTGCTCGTTCGGCCTCATTGTTGTTGCTCACGCTTTTTCGCTTATTTGTGCTCAATCATTTCCTCAAATCTTTTGTAAAGGTTACTTGTACCTGCAATTATATTTTGGACTATAGGACTTTGCTCATGATTTGTATTTTTTATTTAACTCTTAGACTTATGTGTAGAGCTTTATGTACACTTTTAGTCTTTTATTTTCTTTGCTTGCATGTTTGTGATTTTGTGAAAATCTGCAAAAAATATGTGCAAAAATTCCGTCATTTTCATTATCATTGGAGGGTATCCGAATTTCTCCCCCCAAAAAGAAAAAATGAAAAAGAGGAAAGTAAGTTTAATTAATTTTTGAAATTCCTTAAAAAGAAATTCCCTAAACCAATTAGGATTTAGCGAAAAAGGGTTGAATATTTGTGGGAAAATAGGAAAAGGGGTTAAAATTATAGGAAACCCGAAAAAAAAATCAAAGTACAAATCCGAGTCAAAATCGAATCAATGTAAAATAAGACGCGTTTTATATCGCTAGCGTTGGAAATCGCGGCGCGATGGAAATATCGCGGCGCCATATACATAACGCGACGCGATGGATCTGGGAAAACCGAGTCCGAACAAGACTCGATTTCTGCTTCGATTTTGCATATAAAAAGCCCCCAAATACGCCATAATCAGCATTATTCGGGTCATCAGCTTCTAAATCTTCCATTCGCATCAAATTAGTAATCATGTCTAGGAATTTTTGTGACACAACCCGTGAGTGCACTAAAGGGGAGATAAGAGCTTGACTTTCTTCATATGGGGGGTTTATTTGGCATTAAAAGGGTAGATCTTGATAGTGAAGTTATTTATACCGCCATAGAATATTGGGACTCGAACACCTATTGCTTTAGGCTAGGTAATGATGAAATTAGCCCCCTGCCGGAAGAATTTGGTGCTGTTCTTGGTTTTCCCTCCGTAGACCTTGCAGTGATTCCCACGGTGTGTGAATATTACTAAAAAGGTTTTGAGCGTTATTATAATCTGAGGGAAAATGATTTAAAAACCATAGTTGATGGTAGTGAA